GGTAGAAAGTGAATTGTGTGTGAGATGTTTTCTTAAAACGTATTTAATGGTCGCAATCATGTTTAGTGTGGAACCTTACAAGGAATGCAATACTTCAAGTAAACACAACTTGAGTTTATGTAATGTAAATGCATTACATAAACTCAATTTCAGTTTATGTAAATACAATACGAATTGTAAATACTAGTGCTTATAATCCTTATTTCCTTATCTATCTTGTTTTATACGTTGTCAGAAAATATTCACGTATAATCATTTTTTAAAAAATAGAATAAAAATAACAGTAAAATTATAATTACATTTATTGTTTCAAAAATAATTTTAATTTTTTCTAAACAGTTGTACCATATTATCGGTAATTGAGCGGTACAAAAATCATATTAAAACGAAAATGTCTGAAAAATATAAAGAAAAAACTAAATTGAACGTTGAAATAAAATAAAAGGGGAGACCAGGTATCGAGGGAAGTGTTTGACCTATCCGGAATAGATTATTCGTGTATAATTCCTGGCTGCTTGCCTGGATTCGGTGGCAGGTCTCTCCGTGCTAGGATCATCATAAACTGAAAAATATGAAGAAAATGGGACACCGAAATCTTTCTCCCTTGCCAAAATTCTTTTGGGGAAATAATAGTTGCAATCAGAAAACATCATTTTATTGCTATTTTGTTTTTCTTTTTATTGAGCATTATGCTACCTAATTATTCAAAATATTAATTTGTTTTTGATTGTCTCGAATTCACCATACAAAGTACGGTAAACTCTCTATTTACATTCCAAAATTTTCGGTCCTTATGTCGACCTTGAACATTAACACCCTGTTAATTTTAAAATATATTTTATATGTAATTAAATTAACAGGTTTTTTTCAAATGCAAAAGTCACCGCTCTTAACGCCGCAGTAGGAGTGTGTTGACATAATTTTTCTCATCCGAAAACGAATAAATTGAAAATGTTTATTGTGTTTTTGTGAAATTTAAATTTTGTTTTCTCTTTAAGAACATTATTTATTTGCCGAGTTAAATACGATTAAAGTGTATTTTATTTTAAAATGTTTATTTATTTCGATTTCGATCATATATTTGTTTAATACAAACTCAGAACTATAAGCAAGAATACACATAGAAAACTTTTCTGTGAAATTGAACTTCGCAACACACAATTTTAAGTACAAACGTATGTACGATACGTAAGTAAAAATCCGCGACATTTGGTGGCGCCATCTGTTATGACATTTTAGTAAGAAAATGTTTATATTTTTAATTATTATAAAATGGCAAAAAAGTTAATTTTGAGGGTAGGGATGGATTTTATAAAATATTGGAAATGTTAATAACGAGTAAAATCGTCATTAGGTCCAATCTTACCGAAAATACACACCTTTATCTCTTAAAACGAAAACCCTTTATCTCCCCACTTCTTGACTTGTAACCATTAAAATTTAATAGCATCAATCCTCCATTTTAATACACAAATCTTGTAAAATTTCAGAAATTTTCGACAAAAAACACGATAGTTCGTAAGCAAAGAGGGTGAACAAAATAGTGCCCCAGACGTACAGTACACTCACACACCCACACTAACATCCATACATACAGAAAAACCTTCCCCGAATTTTTTCTTGTATTTTTGGGCGTTTCAAGGTTTCCCGAATCGAAAACTGTAAAATTCTTGGGGTCATTTTTTTATCGATCGCCATACTTACCTTCTGTTAACTGCCGGGAAAGTAAAAACAGATAAACTAACCGCATTTAAACAATTAATAAAAACCACATTAGTTGACATTCACGTAATATAAATGGCATCGAAAAATTCGTGTTTAACTTGCCATTAAACCTGATTTACTTTGCTTTAATTGTAGATATTTAGGTCTATTTTCATTAAATTTTTTTATATTTGTAAAATTTTCATAAATTAGGAAAAGTAAGAATAAATATTTATAATTAAAATATCTAAATTATTGTTTAAGATTTCTAACTTTAGTTTTTTTCCCTCATGATATAAGTTACTGCTTTGATTAAAAGACTGGAAACAAAATAACAATTCTTTTGAAAACAGTAAGATAAGCTCTAAATGTCTTGACGAGTCCAAGAGAGATGCCTAATTGTCTTGAATACAGTATATATCACAGTACAGAATACAGTACAGAAGTTTATATGAGATCTTAACCAGAGAAAAAAAAAAAAAAATAGAGAAATGCGAGAATCTTTGGTAAAAACATTTATAGAAAGTGAAAAAGAAAAGTCTACACATTGGTCAGTTATTACTAAATCTAATTATGTAATGTTTCTTAATATATCAGATTATATTTGGTTCTATTCCTTAATTCTGTTTTGAATGACAGAAGTTAATATATTCATGTGTTTTTTTATCTGAATGAATTTATACGACATTGAGAAATATGTTTTTCCAATGCATATTAATAATATAAATATTTTAAATGAGTAAATGAAATTCGGTGAGATGATGACATTTAATTAATAAGACTATTATTGCTACTAATTGCAAGGATGAGAATTTCTTTGATGCCATAATAAATTTATAAAGTTCTGTAAATCACAGAACTGTAATAAAATAAATTCATTCATTTTGATGATAAACACAACATTTTACTTTAATTATAAAATAGGAATGGTATTTTATTCAGAAAGAACAGCTTCTAGTGTTTATGATTGGAAGTATTACTTCCATATACAGTATAAAGATGACGTACTGTACAGTACATATCCTATTAGTAAAAGATATTACATTTATTGAATTACATTCCTTTATTAAAAGTATAATTTTGGGTTTGGAAAGAGTGGGTGTTTTAATTAATTGATGATAATTCAATCAACCACATAGCAATATCTCTATTAAAATTTCAGATTGTATATTCACATTCCAGGAATAGTTTGAGACCTCCTCTCCTTATTTCTGATCCAATTAATTTACTAAAATTTATTAGAAATAATTGATTAAACCAAAAACTTCTGAAAAATATGTCTTTTCTCATTTAAAAAAATTACACATGGCAATGGAAAAACTTCTGAAATCGGAACCTTTTCTTCATTGAAGCAGGCGCCGGTTAAGGAGTGAGCTGAACGTAATTTTACTGACAATCCCTGTATTGATAGCAAATTAGAATATCAAAACATATTTGCCATCAACAATGGGAGTGAGAGATTAAATTCTATACCCTTGTTATCTATTGAAAATGTCGTTGCGTAGAAAATGGACGTTAACGAATGAATAAAAGCTTTCGCAGAAATTATAACTGATAAAATTAAAAGGAATTTAAAATCAATCATTTTCATGTGTTTTTTTATCTGAATGAATAAAAATTAAAGTAGAAATATTGAAGTTAGGAAATTGCTAATAATTTGGAAACCAAGGAAAGATACTTAATGGATTGCAATTTTCAAATTGTAGACCTATAAATTCCCACAGACGTTCGACTGTCTGCCTGTCTTTCTTTAATCTCCAGAACGGAGTTATATTGATGAAAATCGAGACCAGATATGGAAATCTCGATTTCCTATATACGAACTTCCGGTCTAAACCGGAAGTAACGTGATTTTTTACTTTAAAATTAAAAATTGTAACCAGGCATTGAGATGATGTATTAATTTGCAAATAAGTAATTGCTCGTATTTACGTATTTAGAAAGTATGTAAGTATAAAAAAAAACTTATCGTGTAGTCTGCCCTGAGCTCGAAATTATCTTGGTCGGGGCTTGATTGAAACAACTCTGTAATTGTAAATTTGGCACTTTAACAACATAAAATTCATGACTTCTAGACTTATTCTGCAAATATAAAAGAAGCTAATGAATAATATTTGTTCATTGCCCCATGCAACTTCGTCGTTTGTTGACCAAAACAAGAAATATTACTTGTTTTCAAGGTCAAGCCCAATTGCAACTGGTGTTACCTTATGGAAGCGCAGGTTCGACGTTAAATCAGTTTGATGCTTCTTGCATAATGTATTATGTCCTTTTTACTTTTCTGTTATACGTCACTCTTTCCGGATCGACTCCATAGAGAAAGACGTACTCTACTCGCGGTTTATACACAGAAGCGATGAAAGGTCCGGATCGTTCTAGAAACGTCACGCGTTGCGCCATCTGTCGGTAATTTTTTTGGTAGTTACGTTTCTATAGCAACGAAGAGTAGAGTCGGTTCTCGAAACTTCCGTCATTTATGCCGTTTATTTAGAAAGAAAAACATTCTGTTTATTGACTCGCAACTCGTTTGACAAACTATTATTTAAATTACCGATGCATGATTAAAAAGATTGGTGGCGGGGTGTTTAAAACATATTTAATGCGCAGAAGATTGTACAGAAAAATATCTCAACCGGTGTCTTTAGTTACGCCATTGGGATGTCCATTTAAATAATACGCGACGTAATACATAGAAATATTTTACGATTTCGTGACGTAGCATTAATGTTTCCGGCATTAAATTCAGATAAACGATACGAATGGGGATCTGATTTGCCCGATCGAACGGCGCTTGGTTAATTAAAGAAGCGCGATTCGGTCTGACAAAGGCGTAAAAGTTGGCGTTTTGCGTGGACGAAAGGAATTTCTGCAAAGTTATAAACGAGTTAACAATGATCGAAGGCGTTTTCGTTTCGAAAATTGAACGGCTTATGGCGTGTGACACTCGTTTCTCTTCTGGTCACGTTTCTGCCATTTCCAAATACTTTTTACCGCGTACGAATCGCGTTCGTGATATTTCTCGAACTGTATTTTCAAATTGTTTCTTTATAAATTGCAATACTTTGAAAAAACACACAAATTATGTAATTTTTAAATTATTGAATAACGTCTATACAATATTAATTAAACATCGTTTTATTATTTTTCTAAAGTATTATTTATTTAGAATAAACTGAATAATAATACTTTTATGACTAAATTTATCGATAAACCGAGCATTATCGTCGCGCGTCGACCTAGAAAGCGCTAGAACTTTCTAGCAACGCATCGACGTCATTTTTATCGACGACGTCACGCGTCACAACAAACGCTCTGTTGCTCATGCGCACACTTGCCAGAATGTTCGAGAACTTTCCGCTCTCCTTTAAATACCAGTGACGGCGAGGTCGATCCAAATCTCGTCTGTGACGAAACGAGGTTAGAGCGAAAATGGCCGGATTGCTGTTACCCGCTTTACTAGGCGACGCGTGGGATTATCCACGACGATTATTCGATCAACACTTCGCTTTAGGACTGACTGACGACGATTTCTTCCCTCCCAGGTTGTATCGTGGTTACGTCATACGGCCCCGACGTCAGACCAGTCGTCAAGATTCTACTTCCGGCGTGTCGGAGGTCGTCAACGCCAAAGACCGGTTCCAAGTCATGACCGACGTCAGTCACTTTTCTCCGGAGGACATAACTGTCAAAACCGTGGACAATTGCGTGGTGATACACGGCAAGCACGAGGAGAAAGTGGATCAACACGGGTTCGTGGCCAGGGAGTTCACCCGGAGATACGTCCTTCCTAAGGAGGTTGACCCGGAGCAGGTGACCTCGTCGCTGAGTGCCGATGGAGTGTTGACGGTGGAAGCTCCCAAGAAGTGTGAAGAATTGCCTTCTAACGAGAGAATTGTCTCTATAACCGTACAGAAGGCTCCCGCAGTGACGGAGACTGAGAAAATGGAAGACGGTACCAAAGAATAATTTGTCCTCGTTTATTGTAAAATTCCTTAATTTATTGTGTTATTAGCCTATAGTAGGCCTCCTAAGTTGTATATTACGTCGTTATTTTCTACGTTATTTCAGTTTAATAAAAAGCGTTAATTAATTAATTGGAACTCTTGTGTGTCATTTAATTTTGCTATAATTGCGTTTTGATATCAAACTTTGTCGATTTCTGTCGAAAACTCTTAAGTACGAAGTGAAATTAGTGCTAAATAACGATAAATAAAATATTCTAATCAGCATTGTTTCGGTAATTTTAGCACTAGAGAAATTATTAACCTTTTTCTATCGGATCTATGAAGAATTCGATAGTTGTAATGCCTTATAACACGAAAATCAACACGGATATTCAGGAGCGTTGAAATGCTAAATGTGGAAGAGTGGAACAAGTCAGTTTACAATAATAATTTGTATGATTTTTATTTGAAAAAGATTGTAGTTGGAAAAAGTACATTATATATACTGTATATAACACGTCGTGAAATGGAAATAATAATAAATTATTTGGGAATGTTTTTCTGTATTATGAATGTTAGTGTATATGGGGACACCATTCGTTCACCCGCTTTAAAGCTTAATAAAGCCTGTGTCTTTTCTTGAAAATTTTTCAAGGTTTGCATGGAGGTTTGTGTATTAGGGGAATCGATGCTATTAAATTTTGGTGGTTAAAGGTCGACGGGCCGAGGAAATATGGGAGTTCGTGTGCCGTATCTCGAGTGGGATAAGACTTAATAAAGATTTTACTTGTAATTAACATTTACATTTTTTATTTATTTATAGAACTCGTCTTTACCCTCAAGTATAAGCTTTTTGCCGTTTTATATATTAATTATATAAAAATTCAGTACTTGATTGCTTGTTGTTTTTTTTACATTGTTGGAAGTGAGCAGAAAATTTGCTTTAGAGAATTTATCACACAGGAACAATAGTTGATTTGTTATATAGACTTTATATAGACTTGTTTCGTTTTCCAGATATGTGTAAAATAAGGACTGACAAGGGGCGAATAGCCCGAAATGCACTTCGTTTTTAGATAGTACGGTTGTTCTACTGTTCCTGTATGATAAGTTCTCAATTTTGTGCTCACTTCCAACAATTTAGAAAGCTTTTTAAAATAAAATCTCATAACAGATGGCACCACACACAATTTTAACTTTTTTCCGGAAAAGTTACGCAACTCGCTGCTAGATGTTTTATATTTTGGATACTGAAATAATTTCTAATGAAATATGTTTTTTGTTTTTTGGAAATATCATAAGACAATTGAAAATAACACCCGTAACAAAAGATTAAAGTACAAATAAAAAAAAGGATAACAATCAAAATATATGATAAAAGATGTACAGAAATAAAAACAAAATATTATATAATATATAGTAAACATTATATAATTTAAATAATAATAATAATAATATAAATTATGTTGAACTGTTGTTACACGTATTTTTGTAGTAATGTATTTCAAAATGTTTTACACGTTGATAGATATTTTTTGCATTTTGATTCTGTTAGAAAATCTATTTTGTTTATCTGCGTAGGTAAAATACGACTCCAGTCATTGAAACTTTTTGCTAGTTCATGTAGTAAAATGTGTATATAAATAAATAAATGTGTAGGAACAGATAGGGTTGTTGGGGAACATCGCGAATTCGAGCATGTAATGTACGGTTTGAATTATGATTATTGCATCAAAAACTGTTTTTTTTTTAAATGTTATAATCTATTTTAATTGTTAAATACTTCAATATTTTGAACAAAACTTTTGAATTAAACGGACTAACATCTTTGTGAAAGTCTGTTTTTCTCTTCGTAATTGCAGCTCTCGATCTCTATCTTTAAACTGTGTTTTATCAGTATTTAACCAAACGAATAAAATAATGTGAATACATTAGAAATCGAACTATTCACAAACGTAAATTTGAATCCTTTTACATATATATATTACAGACTACGATTGTATTTTTTATTAACCATGAAAAAATAGAACTTTCAAATCTTGCGTGGTTCATCAAACTAACTGCGGTTGTAAAGTTGCCATTTACATTTTCGAATGGTTTTTTTTTTTTTTATATCTTGTTTCGAAATGAATTCATTGAAATATTAGCAAGTAGAAAGATGTTTTGTTTTTATTGTAATTATTAAGTTTGACTACTGCAATAGTATCTTTCCTGTAAGTATATACGATACAAGAAGGAAGCTGACATATTTGAATACGAAAAATCACGAATTACTTGCTAATCTTAATATTTTTATACAAAAACTTAGTTGACCTTTTTAGAAATATATTTTACAATCGGAAAATTATAAATAAGATTCAATAGAAAAAAATATGTAAACACAACAGCACTAAAAGGAACAAACGATGAAAAAATAATTAAATTCAAGCTCAGCTAAAATATTTTGTCTTCACACATTAAAAAGTTCCAAACTGGATGGAAGACTTCACCACTTTTAAATACTCAGCGTACAGCACCGATTTAGTGCCGAGCGACTTCCACCTCTTTCCTGAACCGAAAAAATGGCTAAGAGGGCAGAGATTCGAGACCAATGACGATCTTCAAAACAACGTTGTTAAGGCCATCTCAATTCACTGGCGGCAACGTTCTATGAAGAGGGGATGGAAAAGCTCGCCTACAGATATGACAAATACCTCAATCTTCACGGTGATTATGTCGAAAAGTAACCATGTTTGTACCTAACTTTTGGTAATAAATTCATTTTGTTTTTACACTTGTCTTTTTTTATGGACCATCGGAACTTGAAAAAAACAGCCTACGTATACGTATATAATAGAACCGAAAAAAATAAAAAAACGTACTTTTTCCAACTATAAATACAATATTTTTAAAAATAAAAAGTCATACAAATTATTATTGTAAACTGACTTGTTCCACTCTTCCACATTTAGCATTTCAACGCTTCTGAAAATCCATATTGATTTTCGTGTTATAAGGCATTACAACTATCGAATCTTTATAGATCCGATAGAAAAGGGTTAATAATTTCTCTAGTGCTAAAATTACCGAAACAATGCCGATTAGAATATTTTATTTATCGTTATTTAGCACTAATTTCACTTCGTACTTTAGAGTTTTCGACAGAAATCGACAAAGTTTGATATCAGAACGCAATTATAGCAAAATTAAATGACNTCGTCATGGGTAATCATTATTGATTCAATTTTGTAACATACATAAATTAAACAATAGGTAACATTAAAGTAAATGTACGTCGTAAATGGGCTCATTTCTATAAATATTAAACTATAAAATATTACAGAAGTAAGCAACATCAAGCAGAAGTAATCGATCATCAGAATAGTATTATAAGTATTGTTCCAATCTCGACTATATGTCCAGAGTTCGTCATGGGTAATCATTATTGATTCAATTTTGTCATATAAATTTATATCATTAATATTTAATAACGAAAGATGTTTCGATAAATTCAAAAATGCAATTCTTGATATATAAAAAGCACTGAAAACTAGCGTCGAAAGATACAATAACCCTCCAAGTATATATGAGCAAGAGGTTCCTGCCATTATGCTGCAAAACAATCCTTCATAAACCGAAGAAAATCCTTTTTGATACGAGGAATAAAATAAATAAATGATCATAATTTGCGATATACTTATAGAGCTACACAAAAAGAAGATATTACATAGCCATATTACTTGTAAAACGTTATACATTTGCATTTCATCCGAAAAACTAATACGCCAGAATTTAATCGTGGGTTCCACTTTGTTTCTCTTCATCGCACTGTTTGTTATGGCGTGTATAAATGCAGCAACAATAAGTGTTAACTTAAGAATAGAAGAATCACCTTCAATAACATTCCATATACCAACACAAGGAGGGTGGTAGTCCAGTTCCGGGATGGTAAAACTAACGAGTAAAAAGAAAAATAGCCAAGAAATAAATTCGATTAAATCGAAATAGAAGGCTTTCAACATCCTAATGACAAAGTTGTATTTACTTGAACCTTCGCAGTTGCATTCCTTGTAAGGTTCCATACCAAGCATGATTGCGATCATTAAACACGGTTTAAGAAAACATCTTACACACAATTCAGTTTCTACCTCCATCTTTCTTTTGAAACAATTTAATAATTTTCCACTTTATTTCAACGCAAAGTGTGAAATTAAATTTAATTTCAAGATGTATTTAGTAGTTTCTCTATTAAAAACTGTACCGTACAGCTCCAAGATTTGTGAAAGATATAGTCCACTATTTACATGAGAACTCATTTGGCATAAAAAGTAACTTTCATAAATATCTTTGTATTGATAATATAATAAAACACCGGACGGCTGGCTCATAATTTATTGAACTAGTTCTACAATAAAACTCGTATATTTGTCAAATTACTATCATAATGTTGACTTTGAACCACATTTTGAAAAATTGTATAGCATTCGAAAACAAGTTTTAATATTAAATCTGTCAAACTTTAATAGAATATGTAAAGATAAATAACTTTTTTTTATCTGAAATCAATTATCTATAATTGAATTTCATACGTATAATATTCTTACGTATATCTCCCTACCAGTGACTAATGGACGAAATTATACGATACAGTATTTTGGTGCGTATCACACCATTGAAATATTTTCTCCTGGAAGCTATCCAGTATTCGACAATACGGCGCTTTCATTGGGAATATGCACATACAAATTTATATTCGAATATAAAATAGCAATCTTATTACTGTTTTTCACATGTTTAAAAATTTGTAATAAAATACATAATGCGGTTAAATATAAATATTAATTTTAAGTAATTCAAAGTATATTAAAATATGGAAATAATCGCGCAATATGTATTTATATTTTAGAAAGTATAAGGGAAGCGGCTCTTCCACAGCTTTCAGGAGGGCACGCCACTGAGAAAAAGTTCAATAAATTATTAGCCAGCTCTCCAATGTTTTATTATATTATAAAGATATTTATGAAAGCTACTCTTTATGCCAAATAAGTTTTTATGTATAGTTAATAGTGGACTATATCTTTCGCAAATCTTGGAGCTGTACGGTACAGTTTTTAATAGGGAAAATATTAACACATCAATTGGAATAAAGTGGAAAATTATTAAATTGTTTC